GCCACACGTGTGTAGCGTTATTGGTTGTCATTGCCACACGTGTGTAGCGTTATTGGCTGTCATTGCCACACGTGTGTAGCGTTATTGGCTGTCATTGCCACACGTGCGTAGCGTTATTGGCCGTCATTGCCACACGTGTGTAGTGTTATTGGCTGTCATTGCCACACGTGTGTAACGTTATTGGCCGTCATTGCCACACGTGTGTAGTGTTATTGGCTGTCATTGCCACACGTGCGTAGCGTTATTTGCCGTCATTGCCACACGTGTGTAGTGTTATTGGCTGTCATTGCCACACGTGTGTAACGTTATTGGTTGTCACTGCCACACGTGTGTAGCGTTATTGGTTTTAAGATCTCCGACCAAGTATTAGATCTTTGAACACCGGAAATATGAAGTCTGCGGAGCGTTTGAAGATCATCCAAGGAAATGTACTGGCTGTTATTTACATGAATTATGTGGTGAGTTGTTGTTGTTGTTGTCGTCTTGTGTCTACGCTTGTTTTTTATTACTTTTTACAGCCTTACATTAAAAGTTTTAAAATCAATTTTGTGCATGAGATTAATAGTCATTCACAAAGTTTAAACAAATGCACAATGGACAGTTTTTTTTTTTAAATTTGGTTTACGGAGCGTACATTTAAGACTGAGTTCTCCTAGATTTTATGAATAATAATTTTTTCTTTACATTTTTTAAAACAGAGTTAAAATTTTTTTCAAGCAGTGACAATCTGCCTGCCCCCACCCCACCCAACCAAAGAACCCCGCTGTTTATAAGTCAGCCACTTGAGATACTTTATGTTGTCCATATACATCCACACTGACCATACTCTTGTAATAATGTAACATCGTATTTTTTTTAACTCAAAACATTCACATTGCACACAACATCACATCATTTAAAAAGTCACACGACAAAACGCATTCGTGTAATTTTTTTCTATTGTGTAATTATTGTTTAAAAGTGAATCATCATTGTTTTATCCACACACAAAAAAAATGTACAGCATGAAAGAAACGATAGAATAATTAAAGGCACTCTCTCGTATCACTTGCTTGCATTCACGTGGGAAAAACAACTTAATTGACACACTTCTGCTCTTTTAAATATTCGGCAATCAAACCACACTCAAGGGAATATCAAAAGCAGTTCATTCATTTTAAATTATTCTTTCTCATCTTCTTCTTCTTTTTTTTTTGTTGAATAGTGTCACTGTTTTGAAATAGTGTCGTTGTTTTGGAATAGTGTCGTTGTTTTGGAATAGTGTCGTTGTTTTAATGTTGTCTTTTTGGAATTTTTTCTTTTTTTTTTTTTTTTTTTTTTTACATCTTCCGGTAATTAAACCATTCGCATGAATACATTCATCATTATTTTATCATTTATAAGATACACATTTTATTTTAGCTTTCGCACAAAAATACATATTATAAAGAGAAAAAAATAAAAAAAAATAACTCAGTCAATTAAAGGCCCAGAAGACATTTAAAAAAAATGGTGACTTGTTATTTCTCATTTGTTTGTTCGTTACCTTGCCTACCGACCTGGAAGTTGGGTGCGGCAGGGCAATGACGTCACGTCGTCCATTTTCCTGCATAATCTCAGCCCCCTTTTCACCTATTAATTAAGTTCTCGCCGGTAATCTCGTGGGTAAGTGGCATGGCGTGACCTCACGAAAGTCTCCCAAGCAGTCGCGATAATTTTTTTTTTGTTTTGTTTAAGGTTTCCTTCTGTAGGTAATTTTATATTGAACTTCTCGGGAACATATCCACTTGAAACGTGAAAGAATGCCATGACACAGATTTACTGGCAATAAACAGGTTAAATGAGTACACATCAATTCATAAAGATTTAAAATACGTAGCATTAGCAAAACTCGGTAGACGAATCGGTGTTCATCCACGGTTGATTCCTTAAGCAAATTAAAGAAGCTAATATAAGCACGTTCTAAGCTAAGAAGACAAGGTATGAACTCCTACAGCATAAAGTCCATTTCAAGTACACTTTAAAAATAATTTGATGAACTCTGATTCCTGAAAAAATACGAGTCCCATCTTAAAAGAAAAAGGTTTCGGGGGAGGGGGGGAGGCAGGGGTTGACTGGGGACTTCAAGCGGCCCGGGAAAAAATCAAAGCGGCCCGATCCTCATGACTTTTATATTTTTATTATATCACCGGTCCTAGTGGCCCATCGGGAATCTTCCCGGTGTCCCGGCGGCCCAGTCCACCCCTGGGGGGGGGGGGGGGGGTTTTANGGGGGGGGGGGGGGGGGCTGTTACACATCTGTACACTCGAGGCTAGTGGGGATTTCTTTTTTGACGTTGCATATTTTGAGCGTGTTAATAAAATTCAGGTACTATGCTGAATCAGACAAGACACGCATTTTGTGTTGAGGAAGGTGGGCGATTTTGGGGAGGAGGGGGCGGGGAATTAAAGTAGTCTATTAAAAGAGGCATCTGAATTGTTTTATATTTACGGTGACCGTGATTGAACTTCTACCCATGACTCTTCCCGGACAGTGAATTGAATTTAACCTTCATCGAATTTTCGGAAACCCCTATTTCGGGTCAATACGTGTTCACGACGGAGAACAAAGATGACGCGTGCCGCAAGTTTATTGTCGGTAATTGGGTGATCCTGTGATGCCCTGTTTCCCAACGTGGGGCCCGCACCCCACAGGGGGCAATTTGATTTTTTTTTTTTTTTTTTTTTTTTTGGGGGGGGGGGGCAATTCGAAAAATGAGCTGTCTAGAATTTGATAACAAACCGTCTACTATGATTTAATTTGTATTCTAAAAGGAGAATCGTTAAAGTCTCCATTTCAAACAAGCGTTCGTTAAAAGTGTTGTAAAAATCAGTTAAGTTTCTTGGGTGAACAACCGAATTTTTTAATATTAAAATTAAAAGGAGAATCGTTAAAGTCTCCATTTCAAACAAGCGTTCGTTAAAAGTGTTGTAAAAATCAGTTAAGTTTCTTGGGTGAACAACCGAATTTTTTAATATTAAAAATTGTGTATGTCACACGAGTAGGGGGGGGGGGCGCATAAGACTTTTAGAAAGGCATATGTGAGGCATGGCACAAAAAAAAACAAAAAAGATTGAGAAACACTGCTCTAATAGCTGAAGGGCGAAGTCAAAACGTCTCGAAGACGTCATAAATATTTCACAATCACTGCACGAAGAATGTTCAAGGATTTGAAACGCTCGTGTGATCCAACAATTTCTCTGTAGATGAGTAAATTTGAGAGGGTTTATTGGAGGGGGGATCTGAGAGGAAAGCAATGCGCCCACCGCCGCGTAATGGCTTTCACCTGCCCTGAAACAACTCGTGGGAGGCCGAGCTCGCATCTTGACTAAATCAGATTAAAAGGGGAAGAAAAAAAAAGTTCAATTCTTTTTTTTTTAACGTTCAGTATCTGTAAAAACAAATTCTTGGAATTTTCTCATTTGAAAATAATAACATTTTTTTCCTTGTATCATTGTATCTGGCGGCACATGTTTTGTTGTTAGTGGTTCTTAATTTCCGGATGTTGTTCACAGTTATCATCTTGTCTGGGTTTGCGTCAACGGTAAGGTACGACGTCATGCAACTTAAAAGAAGCTTAAAAGATTATGTACGTGGCTACCTTAAGGCATCATGTAGAAACGCATTCAATGAAGATGGACTTTTGGGGGAGAACAGGAGAAAGTTCAGAGTGTAAGAGAGGGAGAGAGAAATGAGAGAGAGAAAAGGAGAGGGAATGAATGAGAGAGAGAGAGAGAGAAATATATAAGGAGAGGGAGAGAAAACAGGAAATAATTTTTTTAAAGTATTAACAGACACGAGATCTTCTGGTCCTATATAAAGAACCCAAGTTGACAAATAAATTTCTTACCACCATTCACAATAGCACATCCTCTAAAAATGCACGATTTCTCATACAGACCTCTCTGAGTAATGAACTTATTTAAACTTCAGTTGGATCATCGGTTGGCTCATCAGTTGGATCATCGGTTGGCTCATCAGTTGGATCATCGGTTGGCTCATCAATTGGATCATCGGTTGGCTCATCAGTTGGATCATCGGTTGGCTCATCAGTTGGATCATCGGTTGGCTCATCAGTTGGATCATCGGTTGGCTCATCAGTTGGATCATCGGTTGGCTCATCAGTTGGATCATCGGTTGACTCATCAGTTGGATCATCGGTTAGCTCATCAGTTGGATAATCAGTTGGTTATCAGCTGAATCATCGGTGGGGTCATCAGTTGGGTCAGTTCAAATTACCATGTTTGTAAACTTAAAGGCTTGGATTTAAAAAAAAAACACACCTACAGAGTAGTTGTTATGGTGTAAGATTTTACAGGCATACGATATGCTCTGGGTTGCATGAAGATAAACTATTGTCATAAGACAGTTCAGTGCATTACAACAACAACAAAACGGCTGCTACAGTATACTGTCTGGTCTTATTTACGGCTCTAGATAACGCAACTGCACGAAGACCTATCAGTAGAGCTAGAGGTCATTGGTCTCACTGTCATCTACCGCCCAGCTGACCACGGACAGCCCATAAACTACTCCAGTTGGCCAGCAATCAAGCAATAAGGGCCATTACCCGGTTGATTACTTCAAGCTCTCCGTCCACAAAGACCGGACATTGTCCTATCGAGTCTAAAACTGGACATCTCCAACACCGGTTACATTGTGTACAGTGGCGTATTAAAATAAGAACATAACAACACAACATGGCAATAACATACGCACTCCAGGTGGCGGCTAACTCTCACGGTAAAATAGGGGAAAGCTTTCAATGTACGCCAAAAATTAAATCATAAATCCAAAAACGTCAGCAAAACTTCTACTACACACTACAAGTTGATGAACATTTCAGGATCAAGCTGCGTCAGTCTAACAGAGAGACTGAACTATGATCTCATTCAAACAATATTCCGAACGTATCACAGCGAGAATAGCCGGAGCTTGTATGAGCCTCAATGAGGTAAACTTTCGGGCAAAATTTCCCGCCTTCAACCCTTTGACAGGGCAAAATTTCCCGCCTTCAACCCTTTGACAGGGCAAAAGTTCTCGCCGGTAACGTTGTTAAAGGATGAAATTTCCCGCCAGTAACATTTTGACATTGGGCATTGTTTTCTTCCCTTCTTAATACTTCTTTTGTGGAGTATTAAAGATGCGACTGCAATTAACACTGAACCACATACAGTGGCGTATGAAAGGGGGGGGGGTGGGGTCGGAAAACGTCCCGGGTTTAACTTTACCCGGAGAGGTGGCATTTTAGTTTTTTCCTGGAAGGGGACGGCGAAAAGCTTGACCCAACTGGGCGGCACTACCGAATATGAATCATGCATATATCATTCTTTGCTTACTCTCTAGCTTTTTTTTTGCATGTACAAAAAACAAAAACATTTTATTCTAAGGATATCGTGTCCCTATTTAACCTTTAAAGTCTCTTTGAAGAATTACTGAATCAAATCTTAGCAAATAGTTTTAATTCCTACAGAGTTTATACAATATTTGAATTCTTTTGTATTTTTGTACCATTGTACCGGTGAATTATCTAGCAATCTATGTGTCAGTTCTGAGATATCAATCCTTATACATGGTGTGTTTTTGGTTTTTAATGGCACCACGTAAAATTGCTGTTCTTGTTCAGTGCAGATTTTTATCCATAGAAATATATATTTTTTTTGTTGCTTTAAATATCGGGGCTGATACGATTTCGAGCAGTTTTCAGACTGCAGACGACAGAATTTTTTTTTTTTTTTCAAAAGGCGCAAACACGTACCTAAGTGACATGATCTCGATGGTTCCCAAAAACATTAAAAGGTGTACCGGAATTACAACTTGAGCAACATAAAACATATTTTTTATTTTTTTATTTATTTTACGGAAAACACTCCTTCTGATGCTCTCCCTTTGATTATTATCTCCCATGTGGCAGCGCAAGAAAATGACCAGTTTCACGAAGTCATCATTACATCTTTACTCGGACTTTACGTACAGCCATCAATATTGTTTTTAGCCTGGCGTCTCCCAACGGCCCTCACCCACCCGTCCCTGCACTAACCGCAAAAGTCTTAACCATAATTAATGAATGTAGAGCTGTGAAAAGGGAGGGGGGGTGTTTGGGATAAAGGACTGTAACAATTTGAGGCCCTCGCGAGATGCCTTGCTGTTTATCTGTGTGCTCAGTGGAATGATAGTTACCCGTGGGTAAGGAGGCGTCCTATGCAGGCGGGAATTGAAGATACTTAAGCGCTCGGATGGGGTATTATGCGGATTATTAGGTCAGAAGTATAATTTGGCATTTGGCTGCCTTGGTGCTGAGTCTTTGGCGCCCTTGGCCCTTTTCGGCTCGGAGTCAGAGGGCCCAAAAAGGGGGTGGGGGGATTTTCGTAAGATGAATGGAAAAAATTGTTGTAGCACTGTTACATAAAAATAAGTTACGAGGAGATAGCACCAAAGCCTCATATCATAAATTGATTCATTTAAATTACATTTTATGCGTAGCTTATGTTGCTGGAGGTGACACAAAGAGGTTCCTGATGTCACGTTGAGAGCTTGTATTTGGGATACGAAGAGGCAAGTTTTTTTTTATCACTTTAATTACGTTAATTTTTATAAGCGTCATTAGATCTTAGAATGTGTCATTACTTGATGAATCTACCTGTTCAAAGTCACCCATCACCTCAGCAATTTTTTTTTTTTTAAAGTTCAAACCTGTCTTGGCTGTCCTTGGCTGTCAATTATTTCAGATATTGAATGATCTGACAATCAACAATGACACTTAAGAAATGAATCTTTAGAGGATGTTTGTTTCAGCCATCAATTATATGACAAGAAGTATGCATTACCACAAGTCGTGCCAGCCCTAATCAGATAATTACATTAATTGACTGTCTCAAACTAGCATTTCGTGGCCTGAACACAAATTTAAAAACAACATTGAGGAAGAAAAAAAAATTAACGAACGAAACTTCACGATAAATTTATCAGGAAATATATCTCCAGCTTCTCATTCTTCAATCTATTGCAAGACTTAATAGGTTTTAATTACTGTTTAATAGTGTGCATCTTCTTAGACGATGGACATTGTGTATTTTGGTTTCAATGTTGTGAGCTATTTGTATACATACACAACTAGCAGTTTTAAAAAAAAACATCATAAAATAGACATAATTTGATAACCGGATATAGTTGATGCTCTACAGTAAAGTTAACTTGATAATTTTTCTTTTATTAAAGAAATTGTATTTAAAAAAACTTTATCAAAATATTTTTCTTTTTCAATATAGCCCAGAGTTATCGACTGTTTTCGAAAACTAGAAAAAAAAATATTGCCAATTTTTCCAAATATCTTATTTATCGTCTTTCGTTGAAGGTTTCAAAAATAATATTATTATTTCAATGTAAAAACTTTATTTATTTATTAGGATGGAAGTGGGGAATTATTTTCCACACACGTCTGCACTGTTATTGAATACACCCTAATCAAATGGGATTAATGCTGCTTTCATTTTTAAATATATGTATATACATATACATATACTAGCTTTAGCTCGCCAAACATTGGCGACAGCAATGCGTGAATTCCCATCTAGTAAAGTTACTTGACAAAACATGAACTCAAGTAACGCACATTTAAGAATCCCAATATTTGCTACACCCCTCCCCCCATGATACGTCACTACACACTTTTTTTTTATTTAACGACCATGAACTGAATTAATATTCTGCTCTCCCAACAACTCTTAAACCGAATATTTATTTCACCATATTTAAATTTTAGACGCTTTCATTTTTCCGGAAAAAAAGAAAATATTACGCACCAAATGCAGCTGCGTTATTTTAAAAAAATAAATCATTTAGCATTGCTATCGAGAATTATATTTTGTGCTCCATTCGGAAATGGAAGCAGTGAAACCACAAGCAAAATACATATAGGGTTTTTTTTTTTTTGTTTTTTTTTTTTTTGCATCCATTTCTGAAATTCATATCCCATTTTTCAAAGCTGATAATTCGATAATCATTCTTTTTGTCAAAATATACGTAAAGTTTCCCATTAGATTGGTCCGTAGA